TGGGTTTTTTTTATAAAATTTTGCAAATAAATAATATTTCATCATAAATCTTAGCCAAAATTTATTCCGTTATCTTTTTAAAAAAAAAAAAAAAAAAATCCAAATTAGTTTATAAGCAAAAATTATAATTAAAAAAACATTTTTTTTTACATTTTTATTTTATTTTTTTTATATTATTTTTTATTTATTTTTATTTTTTTTACATACTGTCACCCTAGCAGTACAGTGTCACCATGGTGACACTGTACTACTTGTCGGAGGTGATGAAGATTTTTTTTTTTTTTTTTACACTGATTGCTTTTACACCCATATAGGATGTAAAAGCAATCATTTCTCTTTCTCTCTGTGTGCATTCTTGCACTCATAGTGAGCTGTGATTGGTCACAGCTTGTCACATGGTACAAGGCTGTTGTGAATAGCCTTGTACCATGTGACCTCTGTGATCATTCACAGATTTCACACGTAGTAAGCAATGATGTCACAAGTGACATCTTGCTTACTACTTTGCATGTGATCACTGATTGGCCAATCAGTGATCACATGATCGGGACCCTCGTACAGAGGTCCCGTCCGACGATCGGTGTTTCACTGTGTCCGGAGGACACAGCGGGCACCGGATCGCGGTGCTGCGCGCTCCCAGGGAGCGCACACAAGCAGGGTGCGGGGAGGCCGTTTATAGACGGCCACCCGACCCTGCACTGCCACCGTCCGCCCGTTTATATACAACGGCCGGACGGAAAGTGGTTAAATCCTAATGATAACAGAAATCACCCAAATGGCCTGGATCTGAAGTCTCCACCCCTGCATCAGAAGTCTCCCGCCCCCTGGAATGTTTGGCTTTGTGTCCCCTTGTGTGTCTGTACCAAGGCCAAACATTCCAGGGGGCAGAGACTTCTGATCCAGGGGGCGGAGACTTCTGATTTGGGCCATTTGGGTGATTTCTGTTATCAATATGATTTAAAAAGGAGCCAAACAACCATCTGATAATAAATGGCTTCATATGATCGTCATCCTTCAATAAAAGATCATTTATTGGCAGATCCATCAGATTTTCAATATCAATGCCAAAATTTCACTATTTCTGCCGGGGTATGTAAACTTTTGAGCACAACTGTGTGTGTATATGTATGTATATATATATATATATATATGTGATGGGAGTCACTTTGGGAGGGGCGCCCATGGAACACAGCTCACTTTGGATGGGTGGGGAGACCCCCTGCCTCAGCTCCCCATATCCCTCTTATGTGTACTTGGTGTCATTTTGGACTCCAACCTATCCTTCCAGCCCCAAGTCCACTCTTTAACAAACTCGTGCCGCCTCCACCTCCGCAACATGCAGACTCCACCTCCGCAACATGCAGACTCCACCTCCGCAACATGCAGACTCCACCTCCGCAACATCGCCAAAATCCGCACGTTCCTAACTCCAGAAACCACTAAAAAGCTCATCCACTCCCTCATCATTATCACGACTCGACTACTGCAACTCCCTCCTCACTGGCCTGCCTCGCCACAGGCTATATCCCCGCTTCAGTCCATCCTGAATACGGCTGCCAGACTCATTCACCTTTCCAACCGCTCCGTTTCCCGCCATCCCCCTCTGCCAATCCCTCCACTGGCCTCCACTCAGTGTCCTCCACCCCCCTCTGCCAATCCCTCCACTGGCCTCCACTCAGTGTCCTCCACCCCCCTCTGCCAATCCCTCCACTGGCCTCCACTCAGTGTCCTCCACCCCCCTATGCCAATCCCTCCACTGGCCTCCATTCAGTGTCCTCCACCCCTCTCTGCCAATCCCTCCACTGGCTTCCGATTGCACAACGGATCAAATTCAAAATCCTAACACTGACGTACAAAGCCGTCCACCATACTGCCCCGAACTACATCACTGACCTAATATCCAAGTACCACCCAAACACGCACACTCCGCTCCTCACAAGACCTCCTTCTCTCTAGTTCCCTGGTCTCCTCCTCCCATGCCCGCCTCCAGGACTTCTCCAGGGTGTCACCCATCCTCTGGAACTCCCTGCCCCAACCCATCAGATTATCACCTACTCTCCTCTCCTTTAGGCGCACCCTGAAAAACCCATCTCTTCAGGGAAGCCTACCCCACCCCCTGCTAACTTGCCGACCTCCTCCACTCTCTTCCTACCACCCCATCCCCCAAAGCTATCTCCTCCTGTGCCACCATCCCCTCCCTCCTAGATTGTAAGCTTGAAAGAGCAGGGCCCTTGATCCCCTCATGTATCACATTGTATTGTTATTGTTCTGTCACATGTTCTGTCCCCCTTTGTAATGTACAGCGCTGAGCCAACTATTGGCGCTTTATAAATACTGTATAATAATAATAATAATAATGTGTAAGTCCCCCTGTGCCTGTTAGGGGTGCAGGGTGAAATGTTCTGCTATTGAGTAGACATGTATAGGTGGGGTGTGGGGGGTTGTTCATTGTTTAATGCCATGTGGTTGTCCCATTGTTCTATTGTGTGTCTTGCTTGGGAGCAAACTATTATGGGATGTATGTGTTTGTGTATTGGCTTGGTGGGGGGTGTCTGCTGTGTGTCTCTTGTTACTAAATGTATTGCCCCGCCCTGTGTATACATCTTGTATCTGTGTTAAAATAAAGCAGTCTATTTCCTGTATACAAACAGAAATCCTCCTGCGCAAAAAGGGAAAGGAAACCCTACTGAAAGCTGCCCGCACTTAGCCTGCTCCCCAAACAGTGTAATAATAAATAATAAGTAGTGCAGCGCTCAAACCTAAAACAAATACTACAAGTAATAATGCTTACATGCATTGGTGTTACAAAGTATGTCTAACATAAATCATTAAGTGAGATATCTTCGTTCAAAAGTGCCACTCAGTGTTATTCGTTCCTTCGTGCCCACATATTGTAATAATTTATAGATAGAAACAATATAAATAAACTATCATAAATGAAACAGACTTTTCACAGTGCTCCAAATATAGTATGTGAAGGTGACCACACTTAGAAACATAAATTTTAAGCTCCACGCGTTACGTCACTATCACTCGTGACTTCCTCTGGGCATTACCCTAGACACATCGTTCCTCCCTTAAGTAACGGACCTCCTCTTGCTGCTAATTCACGGCCCGCCCCCTATTCACTGTCACGGAGCAGCCATTTTCCTGAAGCCCATCTCCATATAGAAAATGAAGACACCTCTTACAATCCAAGGGATAATACAGACGCCCTGCATTCTTTCCATCCCTAACATTAACCCCCCTGGCGGTATTCCCGAGTGTAGCTCGGGGTAACATTTCAGTACCAAAAGCGGTAACCCCGAGCTACACTCGGGAATACCATGCGGCACTGCTCCGGCATGAGTTCTTCACTTACCTTACCCTGCGCTCCCACGATGTGTCCCCTGCAGCGTCCCCGGCCATCTCCTCCGGCCGATGCCGGCATCCGGCTTCTGTGTCCTGTCCCTGTGACGTCGGGACGTACGTTTTTTTACATTTTACATAGTAAAACATTGCTGTCTCAACCAATTTCACATACATTTTGCCCCGAGTGCTTTGTCCTGCGCCCTGCCTGCATTTTGTCTGTTCTTTCTGCCTGGAAACTGAGAAACGTCCATGGCATCCAAAAAGTGTCCCTTTAGGTCAAAAGCGGTTTTAGACCGGCTAGAGAACAGCGATAGTAAATCAGAACCACTTGCAGAATTGAGTGATAATGATTCGTGGGGGAAATTCCTCATCAGACACTGAAAACGATTTTGCGACTTAGCTCAGCAATGTGCGCTATATTTCAAATTTCAGTGTTTTTGGTTTGATTATATTATTGAATTAAAATTTTTTATTATTTTTTATATTATTTTTATGATTATTTATTAAATTATAATTTATGATTTTGTATTTCAAATTTTATCATACCCGGGATGTTTACTAGACTCTTGTTCGGACAGATTTCAGTGAGTTTTTCCTAAAAATTACATCCTACAATAAAAAAAATACATATTTCCATGCAAAAAAATGGTACCCCGCTTTCAGCACCAAAAATCTGAAATAATCAGACCGCCAGGGAGGTTAACACCCAGATCTTTTCATTCATAGTTTATTTTATTAAATGAAATTAAAAACATAAATTTTAAGCTCCATGATACATATACCCCAGGAATCTTTATTCCAATACCTCCTAATGGACAGACACTAAAGCCCCCAAAAATACTATTATAATCCTCACTGATACTCATATTAATTTAAAGATATTTATTTAGAAGTTTTTATACATCATTAAAAGGTATTAAAAATATTTATTTATTCATACTGATTAGAGATGAGCGAAGTATTGAAAAATTTGATTCGACTGATTCGGCGAATTCGTGGACAATATTCGATTCGAGTCGAATATATTCGCTGTGAATTTAACTTAAAAAAGGGTGTTTCTAGGCTTCAGAGAGACTTAATATTAGTGCAGAACACTGTACCTTTAATTTAAATGCCCTTGGAGTCTGCTGGGGAAGAGAAATAATACTGTCACACTCAGTATGACATGCAGATGAGTGCCGTCGATCTTAGAATCACCGCACATTTCACTCATTTGGCCAGTCACGGGGCCAAAACCAGTGTTTGGAGCCACAGTGTGGCGGTGGAGGCAGCAGCAATGGGAGGCCATACAGCAACCTATGACAAAATGGAAACCAGCAGGAGTGTGAGGAGACCTGAAAGTGGCACATGGCAGAGTGGGAGCAATGGGAGGCGGTACAGGGACCCATGACACACTGTGGGCCCAGCAGCAGCATGACCAGGCGGTACGGGGGCCCATGGCCGATTTGGGGCCTGGCGGCACCTATGGAAGGCCTGTAATCTGCCAGCAACCTATGACAAAATGGAAAACCGCAGGAGTGTGAGGAGACCTCAAAGTGGCACATGGCAGAGTGGGAGCAATGGGAGGCGGTACAGGGACCCAGGTCACACTGTGGGCCCAGCAGCAGCGTGACCAGGCGGTACGGGGGCCCATGGCAGATTTGGGGCCTGGCAGCACCTATTGGAGGCCTGTAACCTGCCAGCAACCTATGACAAAATGGAAAACCGCAGGAGTGTGAGGAGACCTCAAAGTGGCACATGGCAGAGTGGGAGCAATGGGAGGCGGTACAGGGACCCAGGTCACACTGTGGGACCAGCATCAGCGTGACCAGGCGGTACGGGGGCCCATGGCAGATTTGACCTCGTTCATCCCATAGTCCTGCCGACTCACGAATAGCGTGGCCTCCTCAAAGGGTCTGAGCAAGCGCAGGTGTCACGCATGAGCTGACAATGGCTGACATCTAAGTTACACAGGGAGTACCTTTATCCGCTTTTAACATCAGGAAATCTGTGATGGCCTTTCGCTGTTCGTAAAGGCGGTCTAACATATGTAGTGTTGAATTCCACCTTGTTGCAACGTCACAGCATGAGGAGTCGGTACGGGGGCCCATGGCAGATTACGTGCCTGGCAGCAGCAATGGGAGGCCCGTAATCTGCCAGCACCTATGTCAAAAAATTGAACACACCAGCAGTCTGAGGAGACCTCAAAGTGGCACATGGCAGAGTGGAAGCAATGGGAGGCCGTACAGGGACCCAGGTCACACTGTGGGACCAGCAGCAGCGTGACCAGGCGGTACGGGGGCCATGGCCGATTTGGGGCCTGGCGGCACCTATGGAAGGCCTGTAATCTGCCAGCAACCTATGACAAAATGGAAAACCGCAGGAGTGTGAGGAGACCTCAAAGTGGCACATGGCAGAGTGTGGAAGCAATGGGAGGCCGTACAGGGACCCAGGTCACACTGTGGGATCAGCAGCAGCGTGACCAGGCGGAACGGGGGCCCATGGCCGATTTGGGGCCTGGCGGCACCTATGGAAGGCCTGTAATCTGCCAGCAACCTATGACAAAATGGAAAACCGCAGGAGTGTGAGGAGACCTCAAAGTGGCACATGGCAGAGTGGGAGCAATGGGAGGCCGTACAGGGACCCAGGTCGCACTATGGGCTCAGCAGCAGCGTGACCAGGCGGTACGGGGGCCCATGGCCGATTTGGGGCCTGGCGGCACCTATGGGAGGCCTTTAATCTGCCAGCAACCTATGACAAAATGGAAAACCGCAGGAGTGTGAGGAGACCTCAAAGTGGCACATGGTAGAGTGGGAGCAATGGGAGGCCGTACAGGGACCCAGGTCACACTGTGGGCCCAGCAGCAGCGTGACCAGGCGGTACGGGGGGGCCCATGGCCAATTTGGGGCCTGGCGGCACCTATGGGAGGCCCGTAATCTGCCAGCACCCTATGACAAAATGGAACCCTGGGCTGGGGCAGGCAGAACCGCCGTATCTTTATCACGGTTTTTTCCCCAGGCCACCGAATGGCGACGCTGCATATGCTGACGCAACGCTGTAGTCCCAACATGGGCCCCCTGGCCACGCTTGACTTTCTGGCCACATAGTCGACATACGGCTACGTTTACTTCCTCGGGCGGCTTGACGAAAAACTTGCCACACCGCCGAGTAGGAAACTTTGCACCCGCTACTCCTCACTGGCTGACTGCTACTTCCTCCGTGCACACCGGCACCACTACTGGCCGTGGTGGTAGGCTGCAGTGGAGCTGCTGCTCTACTCCGTGGCCGTTTGCCTCCACTGTGCTGCGACCCTGCTGAGACAGCAGCAATGGGAGGCCGGAACAGGGACCCATGAGTTCAGACCTGGACTTGGCAGCAGCATGAGGAGGCGGTATACGGGGGCCCATGGCAGATTAGGGGCCTGGCGCCAGCACCAATGGGAGGCCCGTAATCTGCCAGCACCCTATGTCCAAAAAATGGAACACACCTGGGCAGCGCTTTGTGAGGAGACCTGAAAGTGGCACATGGCAGAGTGTGGCGATGGAGACAGCAGCAATGGGAGGCCGTACAGGGACCCATGAGAGACTCTGGACTAGCAGCAGCAGAGGAGGCGGTATATAGGGCCCATGGCAGATTAGGGGCCTGGCAGCAGCTATGGGAGGCCCGTAATCTGCCAGCATCCCTATGTCAAAAAATTCAACACACCAGCAGTGTGAAGAGACCTGAAAGTGGCACATGGCAGAGTGTGGCGATGGAGACAGCAGCAATGGGAGGCCGTACAGGGACCCATGAGAGACTCTGGACTTGGCAGCAGCATGAGGAGGCGGTATATAGGGGCCCCATGGCAGATTAGGGGCCTGGCAGCAGCTATGGGAGGCCCGTAATCTGCCAGCACCCTATGTCAAAAAATTCAACACACCAGCAGTGTGAGAGACCTGAAAGTGGCACATGGCAGAGTGTGGCGATGGAGACAGCAGCAATGGGAGGCCCGTACAGGGACCCATGAGAGACTCTGGACTTGGCAGCAGCATGAGGAGGCGGTATATAGGGGCCCATGGCAGATTAGGGGCCTGGCAGCAGCTATGGGAGGCCCGTAATCTGCCAGCAGGAGACCTGAAAGTGGCACATGGCAGAGTGTGGCGATGGAGACAGCAGCAATAGGAGGCCGTACAGGGACCCATGAAGACTCTGGACTTGGCAGCAGCATGAGGAGGAGGTATATGGGACCCCATGGCAGGATTAGGGGCCTGGCAGCAGCTATGGGAAGGCCCGTAATCTGCCAGCACCCTATGTCAAAAAATTCAACACACCAGCAGTGTGAGGGGAGGACCTGAAAGTGGCACATGGCAGAGTGGTTGGCGATGGATGACAGCAGCAATGGGTTGGGCCGTACAGGGACCCATGACAGACTCTGGACTTGGCAGTAGCATGAGAGGCGGTAATACGGGGCCCATGTGTCAGATTAGGGGCCTGGCAGCAGCTATTGGGAGGCCCGTAATCTGCCAGCACCCCTGGATGCCGCAAAAAAAATTCAACACACAGCAGTGTGAGGAGCACCTGAAAAAGCTGGCACATGGCATGAGAGACTGTGGACCTGGCAGCAGCATGAGGAGGCGGTACAGGGGCCCCATGGAGATTAGGCGCCTGGCTAGCAGCTACTGGTGGCCCGTAATCTGCCAGCACCCTATGTCAAAAAAATTCAACACACCAGCAGTGTGAAAGACCTGAATGTGGTTACATGGCATGAGTGTGGCGATGGAGACAGCAGCAATGGGAGGACCCCAAATCAGCCAAGCACACCCTATGGACAAAAAAAGGAACAACACCAGTCAGTGTGGTGAAGGAGACCTGAAAGTGGCACATGTTAGGGGCATGATTCATGGCGGATTTAGTCAAGTTGTAATCAGGAACTGTGTGGTCTTGAAAAATCCAGACTAAATCCACGCCTGATTCATTTTCACACAACGTAGAGTCTCCTCCACACTTTTGGGTGACATCGGGTCCTCCGCTAGTTACATACCTCCTGGCCGCACTAAACCACACCGCGCTTCCGATGCCACGCTACTAGGCCGGGCATGACAGCCTTTCAAGGGCAAAATTCACTAGTTGGGGCCAAAGGGCAAGTATTTCGTTGCCCCGTAAACAAGGGAATTTTCCCACCTCGGTTGGGAGGGGGCTGTCCCCAAATAGGCCCAACCTTTTTGTTTTAGCTGGGTGCTCCCCGGGCCAAACCGAATTGCTGGCTGCTGCGGGGGGCTGGGTTTGTAGTTTCCTCACTGCGCTGGGGAAGAAAGCCAAATCATCATCGACCCGCAGACTTTAGGCACCGCTGCTGGTTTGGGGCTGCCCCTGCCCTCCCCACCACCCCAAACCCCCCCCTCTTCCCGGCAACGGGAAAGCCGGGGCACAGGCCCCCAGTGTCTGAGGATGGCCGTTGGCGCACAAAGGCAGAGACCCAAATGACTACAAAAACAGTTGTGGGGCCAAAATTATTCCCAAACCCCCCCTGAAATTGAGTGTTTTGGGGGCCCGTTTGAAAATTGCCCTTTTTATCATTTTTAGTCCCTCTTGCTTTCATTTAAAATTAAAGAGGCACTTGTTTGGTTTAGACAAAAATAACATAAAAAAGTTAAAATGAAATAAACCACAAAAAATTTTTTTTTCTGTGCTCACGAGCATTTTCATTTTTCAACCCCCAAGTGACCCCAATCTTTGACTTTGTACAAGCATCCTTTTTTCAGTTTTAACAGCTATTAAACGTGAAGCAATACTTGACCAAAAATGTCTTTTCAAACGATCTAAAGGTATCTTCGCCCCCTTCTTCATGGGGAAAGGCCTCCAGTTTTAAATCACATTTTTTAGGCTTCGCCACTGCAAAAAGCTTTTTTTTTAAGTCCCCCCAGAGGGTTTTCAATCGGAAATTTTAAATCTGGTGACTTTCGATGGCCCCTCCAAAAGTTCCAGCCTTTTCCCCTGCAAACCATGCCAAATGGGGCTTGAGGGGAAGCTTGGGAAACATTGTCCGTTTAAAAAGGGCCAACGTCTCCCAACCTCAGGTGGGGTTTACGGACTCAAACACGTTTCCATCCAATATCCCTGGTA